TCCGCCGGGCCTCCCCCCCCCCCCCCCCTCCGCTCACCTTTCAGAGCTATCACCCTCGAGGCGGGGTTCATGATGGCGCTGTCGGCGGAGATGGGCCGCCGGACGGGGGCCGCGGGGTCGCTGGTGTCGATGATCACCACCTGGGCCTGCTCGCCGACCCGCTCGCGGACGCAGATGAACTTGTCGGATTCCATGGTCAGCGAGCTGAAGCCAATGCTGGCTGCATTGATTCCAAGGTTCTGGAGCTGAGCAGGAAAGAGGCAGGGGTGAGCCTGTCAAGTGAGGGTCTGCCCTGCAGGACAGACGGAGCAGGCGGCTGGTCTGCTCTACAGGTGACAGCCTCATGGAGGGCCCCGGTTCCAATCCTGGGCTGGCCTGAAATGTGTGTGACCCTGGAGGGCTGGCAGGGGGTGGGGTTGCAGCACAGGGAGACCCCGTTGAGGGAGGCCTGTTTCTCTGGATCTCTCTCTATCTCATCCATGGAAGAAATAAACATTTAAAATGATAATAATCATAAATAAAACGGATGTGCTCTTGCCCACTATGTAGCAAAGTCTAACGAGAAGAGAAGGAAACGTTAAACAGGAGGAGGAGAAAAGTTAAACTTTCCTAAAACTTATTATTTTTAGGGTTGGCAGGTGGCATGGTGGTTAAGGCGTTGGACTCCCACATGGCCAACCAGGGTTCGAGTCCTGGACCTGGCAGCTTGCTTTCTCGCTTTTCCTTTCTGTCTCTGTCTGTCTGGTCAAATTAAAAAATGATAACAACAAATGAAATAGAATAAATAATTCTTAAAAAAAAAAAAAAAAGACACCACCACCACCACCACCAAGAAGACCTCCCAGATGAGCCCCCATGGAGGACGGCTACAGAGGACATGGGAGAGGTGATGGCAGAGGAAGGGAAAGGGTGAAAAACAAAAACCGCTTTCTCCAAAAAGCAAGCGAGAACAATGAACGAGCCAAGAGTCTGGGTGAGAAACCACTCCCTAGATCTCATCAAGTCTGTCTACATCTGATTCAAACCAATTTCTAAGTTCGTTTTAGGACTGCGTAGTGAGTCTGAGGTTAACAAAAACGTCAGCCGGGCTGGGACATCTTCCAGGGTAAATCGCTTCTATCTGTGCAGACGGACAGCACGCCTCTCCCAGAACGCCCTCCCGAGTATCTATTTTGAATATGCAGTATGGTGCATGTGCTCACTAGAGAGAGACAGAGAACGTGAGAAGGCAACCCCTAGAGGGGATGACCACACTGAAATCCCTTCGCCTCTCTTCTCCTCTCCTGATTTTGGGCATGCACACATACGTGCCTGTGTTTCTCAAGTGCCAGGCCCGGGACTTGAACCGCAAAGCTGGCCATGGGTGATTCAGCCGCCTTAACCTCCACACCACCTGCTGGTCCCTAAAAGGCCCTCATACACCTACTGCCTGGACTAAATAAAATCTGTTGATGGGACGGCTTTAGAGATATCTGGCATCCCTGGGGCCAGCAGGTGGCGTAGTGGTTAAGGCACTGGACTCCTACATAGCCAGTTGTGGTTCAAGTCCCAGACCTGGCGGCTTGAAACTTAGGATGGGTGTGTGTGTGAGTGTGTGTGTGTGCGCGTGCCCAAATCCTGAGAGGAGAATGGTCTAGTAGGGGTTGTGGTGTGGCCGTTGCCCCTGGAGGGTGATTTCTCACTTTCTCTGTCTCTCAGCCAAGCACACGTGCCTGAGAGCACAAATCTCTCTAGAAAAATGAATAAATCCTGAGGCCAGCAGGTGGCGCGGTGGGTAAGGGCACTGGACTCCCACATGGCCAACCACGGTTCGAGTCCCAGACTTGGTGGCTTGCTTTCTCACTTTCTCTCTCTCTCTCTCATTCTGTCCCTTCCTGGTCAGATTAAAAGAAATACATAAATAAAGCGAAATAAAATCATCTTTGAAAAAATGAATAAATCTATCATGCCCATGAAAAAACATGCTTAATTCCATAAATTCCCCTCCTTCAACCTACCTACAAGATAGCTTTACATTTTTGTCTTTTTTTTTCTTTTGCTAGAGCATCAATGCACTCACCAGCGACAGAGAGAGAGAGAGAGAGAGAGAGCAGCCATACCTCCCAGTGGAGTGCCTGGCCATGCCACAGTCCTTCTTCCTTCATCCCATCAGGATTTGGGGCATGTGCACACACATTTTCCAACCCACTGGGGCCAGGGCTCGAACTGTGATTCACCATGGGGGTCCGCTGCCGACGCACAGGACTTAACCACTGAGCTGTCGAGCTGATCCACTACCTTTATTTATTTATTTCTTAGAGAGAGAGTTTTGCCATAGGGCACGTGTGCTTGTCAGCAAGACAGAAAGCAAGAAATCACCCGCCAGGGACGATGGCCAGGCTGCAATCCCTTCTCCTCCATTCTCTTCTCAGAATCTTGGGCATGCACGCGCACGTGCCTAGCATGAGTTTCAATTTGCCGGGTCCGGGACTCGAACTGTGGTCGAATACATGGTAGTCCAGCAATGTAACCATTACGCCATCTGCTGGTCTTGACCTCTGTTTTTTGTTTTGTTTTGGTTTTTTTTTGAGAGGTTTTTGCCACAGGGCACGTGCGCTCGACAGACAGAGACAGAGAGACAGAAAGCGAGAAATCACCCCCCAGGGGGGATGGACATGCTGCAATCCCTTGTCCTCCATTCTCCTCTCGGGACCTTGGGCACGCACGCAGACGCACTCCGCGTGAGTTTTAAGCCACCGGGTCTGGGACGTGAACCACGGTCGACTACATGGGAGTCCAGCGACATAGCCATTACACTAACTGCTGGTCCCTTGACCTCTGTTTTTAAACATGGGTCTCCTTCACCCCAAACCCACAGCTATCTGACCCTCTGGCATGTGACCTCGGGTAACCTTACACAGGGTGTGACAAAGGCCGCTGTGTAAGAAGCACAAGTGGGAGAAGCAGAGGAGACCGTTCAGACCCTTAGTAACACCAGTAACACCAAAATCCTAGAGCAGAATGGAGAAGGGCCTGACCGCGTGGCCCTCCCTCCCGGGGCCGACTCCTCACTTTCCCTCTCACTGTCTCTGTCTCTCTCTGGTGAGCGCACACACCCTATGGCCACAAACAAACAAACAAACAAAACAAACAAAAATTCAGCTGCCCGTCTGGAAGCAGCCAGGAGGCTCCAGTTACACAGAACACCCCCCGGTTCCAGGCCTCCGAGCCTCCGAGGATGCCCGTCCTTTCCCTGTGCCTCCCTCCCCGCCTCACTGACCAGCTTATCCCCGTGCCTGGCACGATGTTCAATGATCAGTAAGCGGGAGCCGGCAGGTGGCATGGTGAAGGGTGCTGGACTCCCACATAGCCAACCGTGGTTCAAGTCCTGGAACTGGCGGCTTTCTCTCTCTCTTTCTGTTCCTCTCTGGTCAAATTAAAATAAATAAATAAAATAAATTAATACAAGTTAAAAAAATTCTTAAAAAAAAAATGCTCAGTAAGGAAGTTACTCGGTTAGGCACTCCGATTTACTTCATCTGCAGTTTAATAAACTACATTTTAGGGGCCAGCAGACGGCATAGCAGTTACACCGCTGAACTCGCTCACTATTTTTTTTTTTCGCTATACGGCACGTGCGCTCGCCAGACAGACAGAGAGAGACACAGAGAGAGACATAGACACAGAAAGCGAGAAATCACCCCCCAGGAGGGATGGCCACATGGCAATCCCTTCTCCTCCATTCTCCTCTCGGGATCTTGGGCACGCACGCACATGCGCCCGGCGTGAGTTCTAAGCCACCGGGTCCGGGATGCGAACCGTGGTTGACTACGTGGGAGTCCAGTGACATAGCCATTACGCTAACTGCTGGTTCCCCTTGCTCACTATTAAGGAGCCTCTGCATCCTTCCAGAAACGATGAAAAGAATCCCCCGGGGCCAGCTCCATGACCTGGTGGTTAAAGCAGCCAGACCCCACATGGCTGACCCTCTGGTTCAAGTCTTAGACCCCCGTAGCTTGAGAAACGGGCACAGAAGGTGTGTGTGTCCCATCAGGATGGAGAGATGGAGGGAAAGGGTGTGCAGCATGACCATTAGGCACGGGGGCTGCTTTCTCTCCATGCGAGGCGCGTGTGCATGCGTGTCTAAAATCCCAAGAGAATAGAGAAGGGATTGTGGTGTGGCTATTCCCCCGGGGGGTAATTTCTCACTGACCACAGCTCGGGTCCCGGACCTGGTAGATAGAAACTCACACAGGGTGTGCGTGCGTGCGTGCCCAAGATCCCAGGAGGAAAATGGAGGAGAAGGGATTGCTGCGTATCTCACTTTCCCTCTCACGGTCTGTCTCTTTCCAGCCACCGCATGCACCTTAAGGCAAAAGCCTCTAGGGAAAAAAATAAGAAACTATATATATCTATATTTTTTCTTTTTTTGGAGAGGTTTTTGCTATAGGGCACGTGCGCTCGCCAGACAGAGAGACAGAGAGACAGAAAGTGAGAAATCACCCCCCAGGGGGGATGGCCACGCCGCAATCCCTTCTCCTCCATTCTCCTCTCGGGATCTTGGGCACGCACGCACATGCACTCAGCATGAGTTTAAGCCGCCGGGTCCGGGACTCGAACCGTGATCAGCTACTTGGGAATCCAGCGACGTAGCCATTATGCTAACTGCTGGTCCTAAAGAAACTATATTTTATACTTCAAACTGATCAACGAACTTTCCCTAGCCCAAAGAGGGAGCTTTGTAAATGAGGCCCTGCGGAGAGTGATTTTAAGGTCTCTTCCAGAGCTTACATTCCAGGAAGCCGTTAGATTAGGGAAAGTTAAATAAATACACGTGTGCAGCGCTTTACAGAAATAACCTCTCTCCAATTACACCGCTGCAGGTTTTCTGTATTTGAAAACTAGCCTAAGACTCTATATTTATCCTGTTAAATGTCAGCTAGCCGGAGTCCGGCCGGCCGAGGTTTGTCCGGATTCTAATTTTGTCGCTGAACTTTGCAATCCCAGCTTTGCGGCCAACCTTCCTGAGCCAGCCGGGCACGATGGTAATCTCTCTGGCATGGAAGCCACCGGTAGGCTCTAAGCGAGAGAAACAAAAGAAAATGTAGAAGAAGAGACTGAAAGTCACAGACTTGGTGACGGAGGGAAGGAAAAACAGGAAAAGCAGGAGGAAGCAAAGAAACACGGATGGGGTGACAGGGAGCCAGCAAATACTGCCCTGGGGGAGTCTTTTTGTTTTGTTTTTGGAGAGGTTTTTGCTATAGGG